CGCGGCCGCCCCGCCGATCAGCGCTGCCGCTGGCCAGGCCGACGGTCCGCGGCCGCCCCTCCGCTTGCCGGGGCCCGGCCTGCAGGGAAGAAAGGTATACCCCCCAAAAGGGGTTCGATCGAAGACGAAGAGGGCGGGTATCGAGGGTTTGGGAAATACGCGTGATTGGACACTCGAGCATATAACTGCGAACAGTCTTTAAATTGTTGTTGTTGTTGTTGTTGTTGTTGTTGTTGTTGTTGTTGTTGTTGTTGTTGTTGTTGTCGTCGCGATGTTTTCCGCATCGCTTCGACGGGACAACGGCGCTCCCTGGCCCCGCGGGTGGCGGAGGTAGTCCTGCTGCGCCACGACGCAGAGACGCAACCGAGAGAGATAGAGTGAGTCAGAGCAAGGCCCAAGCGCTCATGCCTGCGATGCATCAACCTCCTGCTGCCTGCATCTAGGCCTCCCAATACTGGTCCGAGCCGGTCGGGGTCGGAGGATCGCGCCGCACCGCCGATGAATCGGCGATACGGCCTGATTTGGAGCCCGGTGTTCTCCACGCCGACGTCGTCGATGCATCGCCGATGCGGCGCGATCCCCCCTGCTCCCAGCAGGAATCGACGGATAAAACAACGCTACAAACCTTACTTTCGAGAGTTCCGAAGGAACTCTGGTTGTGTGCCGCCGTGTTGGTCCCCTCTGGGACGGCGCTCGAGGTGGCGTAGTATTCCGCCTGTACCTCCCCCCAGACTCGACTTCCCTTCCCTTGTCCGCCCTTCCTGTTGCCTGCCGTGTGCGGCTCCCTTCCCTCCGCCTCCCCTTGCCTGCCTCCTTCCCTCCCTTCCCCATCCGGGCCCTCCATCGGTCCCGCTCGGGCAGCGAGTGGGAGTTCAAGCTCGACTCGAGCCCACGTCCAAATCGACAACCCCTTCCCCCTCTCCCCCTCCTCTCCCCCCCCGCCCCGCCTCTTTCTCCACCCTCACCATCCTCGTCGTGGTCCTCGTCGTCGTCGTCGTCCTCCTCCTCCTCCTCTCCCTCCCGCTCAATCCCGTCCTCTGCCTCCTCCGTCCTTCCCCTCCTCGCTCCTTTCCCTCCCTCCCCCCTGGATTTCCGACACCGCGGGTAAACATGCGGGATCGGAACAAACATCACGACCAGAACCCCACGGTCAGGTCGCCGAAGTAAAAGGGCCGCTCTCGGCTCAGGAGATGCGTCGGGCGTGCGCACTTGTGCTCGGCGAGGACCGTACGGGCGCATTTTGGTTCACCCTGCGGAGACAGACGCACGAAACCGGACAATGCACACGGCAAGGACGTCCGAGCGATGGCGAGACGTCGGGCCGTTCCTCGGGCCTGGGTCTGGGAAGCTCCCCGTGGCCGCTGCTCGCCTCGGCCAGGATACGCTCCCTCGTTCCTCACTTGGGGCCCTTTGTGCCTCGGCATGGTGCATTTTTCTCGGCGAGGACCCTCGAGGAGCATCCTGGATCGCCGAGCAGAAAACACACGCACGACATCGAACAGTGCACGGGGAATGGACGTCCGGGCGATGGCTGGCCTGCCGGCACGGTGACGGTACACGCCGTGCTCCCGCGGCTCGCCTATGGACGTGTGGACCCCCGCGATGGCCGCCTGGCCCCGAAAACCGGGCGCCAACGCCCGGCGTGAGAACGGTGAAGTGCCCAGATCTCGGAGCCTTCCTCGCGGGAGCGGCCAAGGGGGGGTGAATCCCCCGGGGGGTGGTCCTGCTCGTCGTGGAGAGTCTAGATATACATGTATTCGTGCATACGCTTGCTCGGTGCTGGCAGACGTGTGCGCATAGCTCCGCATGGGTGTGTGTGTGTATATATACGCATCTAGGTACACGGTGGTTGTGAACACGTGTATGCTTGTACCAGCACGCACAGTCATACGGTTCTATATACCCCGACGTAGGTGTGCATATACAAATATACATACTAGAACCACGCGCGCTACGCGCGCGCGCGCTTAGGTTCTAGTAGTTATGTTCGGATGCCCAAGTTCCATTCAAGTTCGGGCGCCTTCCTGCTTCAAGAGTCGAGTGGTTTTCCCTCTTCCATCCTCTTCAGGTGTCGGGCGGAAGCCCAATCTGCTTCCAGCACCTCCCTGTTTTATGGTTCTACCTTTTTTTCCGACCGACGGGTATCATGGCGGGGGCCATGATACCTCCTCAAAGTTCATGGCGCCTCTTCTTATTGCGAAGGCCTTGCGGTCGGTGCCGCCGACCCTGAAGGGAGACGACGACGACGACGACGACGACAACGGCGGCGGCGACGACGACGACGCTGACGTGGGCAAGAGTCCTCAAGGATGCTCCTTGGGTGCTTTCCGGACTGCTCTCGGGATCCTCTGGGGATGGATTTTGGGGTTTCTTGGAAGCCTCTCGGGGGCCTCTTGGGAGCTTCTTTGTGGCCTCTTCGGGCTTCATGATGCCTCCCCAGAGTGTTCATGGCGCCTCTTCCTGTTTCAATGCGTCCCGCGGCAACCCCTTGGCCGCGCACATGCCTCGGGCCACGATTTGCGGACCCCCCCTCCGCCGACCTCCCCCCGCCCTCGCCCTCGCCCTCGCCCTCGCCCTCGCACGCCCCCCTCGGACGCCCCCGATCCTCTCCCCCGCCCTCGCCTTCTACCGCCATCCTCGCCCCCCCATCCTTTGCCGCCGACTTCCCCCGCGAGGCCACGCGTGCCAGGGTGCCCGACGAGCCCCCGGCGGGCGAGCAGGGCCGGGTGGCGATCATGTTCCGGCTGCCGGAGCGCCCTGCCTGTTCGGGCCGGGCCGGACGACAGGGCAGGATCAGAACAGGTCGGGGAAACGCAAGACTCGAGTGCGCCAGAACTCGGGTTTGCCGACGCTTTTTGATGGCGTGGAGGAGGCCACAACAGGAGAATGAACCCATACCGCTACCCGTGCCCCGATTTCCTGTTTTTGGGCCTCTTGGGAGGTCCTCGTCGCCACAGCTGGATTCGCCTCGAAATCCTCGTCAGAATGCACCCCGGCAGAGGTCCTAGGAGTAGCGGTGCCGGCATCTTCTGGAATCCCCGGGAGGGATGAGGACGGATGAGGATGGTCGATGATGATGGTGGTGGTGAGGAGGAGGAGGAGGAGGGCGGGGGGGAGGAGTGGGAGGAGGGATCGATGTTGCTGCTGCTGCTGCTGCTGCTGCTGCTGCTGCTGATGATGATGATGATGATGATGATGATGATGATGATGATGATGGTGAGGGTGATGACGATGATGATGATGATGATGATGATGATGATGATGATGATGATGATGATGATGATGATGATGATGATGATGATGATGATGATGATGATGATGATGATGATGATGATGATGATGATGATGATGATGATGATGATGATGATGATGATGATGATGATGATGATGATGATGATGATGATGATGATGACGATGGTGATGATGATGAGGATGATGAGGATGGTGAGGATGGTGAGGATGATGAGCATGCGGATGAGGATGATGATGATGAGGAGTTTGATGATGATGATTGATCAGGTTGGTGGTGATGGTGATGGTGGTGAAAGTGAGGGTGATGGTGATGATGACGATGATGCCGATGATGATGAGGATGATGATGATGATGATGATGATGATGATGATGATGATGATGATGTGTATGCTGATGATGATGAGGGTGATGATGATGATGCTGATGATGATGACGATGCTGATGATGCTTGTGATGATGATGTTGATGATGATTGATGATGCTGATGATGCTGCTGCTAGTGAGGCTGCTGATGATGTTGTTGCTGCTGATGATGCTGATGGTGATGATGATGATGCTGCTGATGCTGCTGCTGCTGATGATGATGATGATGATGACCTTGATGGAGGTGGTGATGGTGATTGTGATGATGCTGATGATCATGATAATGGTGATGGTGGTGATTTGATTCAGAATGCGAATCATGATGTAACACCCCAGTGTTGTGGATAAGAATTACGGGGCGGCGGAGACGTCGGCAGTTTGTGAGGCTCTGGAGAAGCCCGTCGCAGGCGCTTACATGTTTAAAATCATGCAACGAGCTCACCGCAGGCGCCGAAGTTTACGTTGAAGCAATGTGGGTGGTTCGCTGGGTGTGTCGTGGGGTGGGTGGCGGGGCGGGTCGCGGTCGGGGTGCAGGTGGGTCGCGGGCGGGTCGCGTGCGGGGTCGCGGGCGGGTCGCAACAACAGCACCAACAACACCAATTCTAAGCCGCATTGCAGAACCTCATTTCAACCACGCGCCCAGGGACAGTGAATGACCGTTCGGCCCCCTCATCAATCTGATCATGATGATGATGATGATGATGATGATGATGATGATGATGATGATGATGATGATGAGCATGATATTGCTGGTAATGGGAATATGAGGAAGATGAGTATGAGGACCGCGATGATAGGCAGGAGGAGGGCGAGGGTGATGGCCATCGTCATAGTGACGCTGATGGTGTTGATGGTGATGGTGGTGGTAGTGGTGACGACGACGACGACGATGAGGACATGATAATGAGGATGAGGATGAGGATAATGGCGGTTATGACGATGCTGATGATGTTGTTGATGATGGTGGCGATGACGATGGCGATGGCGGTAGTTATGGTGATGGTGTTGGTGCTGGGTTCGGGATGGTGATGAAGGTGGTGTTGACGCGGATGGTGGTGATGGCCATGATGATGTTGATGATGGTGATGATGAAGACGATGATGACGATAATTATGTTGATGATGACGATGATACTATGATATCGATGTTGATGATGCTGTTGATAGTCATGACGATGTTGCTGCTGCTGCTGATAATGCTGAATGCGATGATGATGATTTTGATGCTGATGCTTATGATGACGATGATGATGAGGAGGAGGATGATGATGGTGCCAATGACGATGTTGCGTTGATCATGCTGTTGATGGCGATGGTGATCATGATGCTGATGGTGATGGAGATGGCTGTGGTGGCCGTGATGATGCCGTGACGGTGAGGGTGCGCAGGGAAGCGCCAGCGGCGCCAGACCGTGAGACACGAGCGTCGCCACCTCCGACGCTGCAGGGGGGGATCCTTCCCGGCCCCGTGCGGGCGCCGTGCGCCGCGTGGGGCCGCTCCGCTCGCAGCCGGGCGGCGGGCCTCCGACCCTCGGGGGGGGGGGAGGCAGGCCCGGAAGCCAGGGCCCCGGGGCCCCGGGGGGGCGGCAGCGGGTGCACGACGGGCACCCCTTCTCTCGGGGGCGGCAGAGAGGGGGGTGAGGACCAGGGGGGTGTGGATGTCATGTCGTGGGCTATGATATTTCCCCAGATCTCATGGCGCCTCTTCTTATTTCAGTACGTCCCTGGCCACCCCCCGCCCCTGGGCCGCGCACATGCCGCCGGCCATGATTTGTACCCCCCCCCTCTTGGACGCTCCTCTCTTGGCCGCCCCCGAGGTGCACGACGGGCACTCCTCTCGGGTTGTCTTGGCTCCAGGTGGCCCGAGCGTTGAGGACAGGCCCAGCCGAAGAGCAAGCTGCACGACGGGCACCCTTCTCCGGGTTGCCTTGGCTTCAGGTGGCCCGAGCGTTGAGGACAGGCCCAGTCGAAGAGCAAGCTGCACGACGGGCACCCTTTCAAGGTTGTCTTGAATCCAGGTTGCACGAGCGTTAAGAACAGCCCTGGTCGCAGATTGCTCTTGGCCCGCGCTTTTGTGGCCACGCCTCGAATGTGTAGCTGGAAGAGAGTGATGGTGGTGGTGCAGATGAATGCGCAGCGAATGCGCCCACTCTATCTGCGGCAGGTTCGTGTCGTGTCGACGCAGCGGCCACCCCAGCTCGGGCGTTCAGGGTTGAGAGCCGCCAGTGGCCAGGAATGCTGCGATTGCTCAGGATGGAACTCAGACCCGGTGCGCAAGCTGTCGAGACACGAGCTTGCCGTAGGTTCTTCCCTCTCCTTCGCTTCCTCCTTCGGGGCCGCCTGGCGCCTCGGGAGCCTTCCTGACAGCGAGACGAGTGGCATTTGGGAAGCGTTCGCCCCGCCCGCCCAGCGACGGGCTCCGCTCCGTGCGCAACCATGAGCGCAGCTATAACTAATTGATTTTTGGGGGAGGGCCCCTCTGGGAAGAACCCACTGACCTCGGCATAAACATTTTGGTTGTAGCTGTGGTCGATTTGGCGCCGTCCTGCGATTCCACATAGGCCTCAACTAGTACTTGGCTGGCTCCGGTGTTCTGACGATTGCTGGATTGACCAGGACATCCCCGATGGTGTGCCCCTGATGTGGTTGCAGTCGCTTTCTACGCAGGGACTTCGCCTTGAGGCGCTGCTCTACTGCTCGAGTGTTTTCGGCCTTGTGTCTTGCGTAGACAGGCGAAACATTGTAGTCACGCATCATCGCGAAGCCGCTCTTTCCCCGCCCCCTCCTCCACACTCTCCTCCACACCCCTCGTACAGTCCCCCGCGCGTGTTCGGGGAGTGTTCCGGGGAGAGAACCCGCCTATCCTTCCCAAGAACCTGCTTGAGGCGGGGCTTCGAGGAACAATTTTCAGCCTCCCTGAATCTCTGCAAGGGTTTTTGAATATTCAAATTGCAACCTCCTCCAAAAAAGACTCCCCTAAGGCGGTGGAGGGTTTGGGGGAAAAGCCTCCTGGGAATGTTCCAGGAAGACAACTCCCTGCCCCCCAACATCGAAGAAACAAGCAATCTTATAAACACTCATTTTCGGAGCTCAGCTCGGATTTCCTGGATCGGCGCTGGACCCCCATCCCTGGCGCGCGGAGCGCGCCAGGGGCGCCGCCACGGGGGCTCAGCGCCGATCCAAGAAGTGCGCGCGGGGCACCGAAAGTTTACATTGACGCCGCTGCCTGCTTCTCTGCCCAGGATGGGGGGTTGGTGAGGGATGGAGGGGAGGAGAGGGGGCGAGAGGGAGGGAAGGACAGGGAGGCAGGGAGAGAGGGCGAGGGAGGGGAGGGGAGGGGGGGGGGGGGCGGGGAGGCTGGAGAGGCAGGGATGGGGGAGAGGGAGGGACCTCCTGCAGCGGAGGCGCCCCCCCCCGCCGAGGACGGCAAGAAGGTGCAGCGCGCGTTCAGATCCTCGGAGGCGGCGCGCGCTTAGCTGTCGCGGGCGCGGCTGTCGCTGTCCCCGCGCCGCCCCTGGGCCTCAAGCTCGCCAGCCCGAGCGCCGGCAGATCGCCGGCGCTGGGATTGCGAAGGCCTCGCGGCTGGTGCCGCCGACCCTGTTGGACAGGATGAGGGGGAGGGGGAGGGGGAGGGGGAGGGGGAGGAGGAGGAGGAGGAGGAGGAGGAGGAGGAGGAGGAGGAGGAGGAGGAGGAGAGGAGGCAGGAGGAGGGAGGAGGAGGAGGAGGGAGGGGGGAGGGGGAGGGGGAGGATGAGGAGGGGGAGGGAGGGAGGGAGGGAGGGAGGGAGGGGGCGACAGCTGGACAGCCCATCGACTGGGCCCGCAGTCTTCAGGAACCCCACGCTAAGCTCCAGGGCGTGTGGAGCAAGGCAGCCTCCGGGAAAAACCGAGAACGACTGCTGCGGGAGCTCCCTGAAAACGACCGGCTGGCACTCCGGGAGTGCGGCGGCGTAGGCGCAGGGGCGTTTCTCCAACCTCGACAACCAGGAGACCCTCTGCAGCCAGACGACCACTTCGAGGTGAACCTCATGTGCCGGCTGCGAGCACCAGTCTGCCCCGCTGGTTCGCGCTGCCAACACCGACGACAAGACGGCACGCTGTGCGGAGAGCCCCTCGACCCACACGGGTTTCATGCCAAGTCATGCGAGGTGGGCCAATCCCGCACCGCCCGGCACGACCGCCTCCGGGACCGACATGCATCCATGCATAAGGAAATTACGGGTCATGCTGCTCCGACGGAACAACACGTGCCAGCGTGGGATCGCCGTCATCCCCACACCGGGGTCCTTCAGGAAGCAAAGTTGGACATCCGGACACACGACCCCAGCACCGGTCGACCCATCTTTGTCGACTGGGCGGTGACCTGCGTACACTCCACCTACGCCCCACGCAGGCACGCCCGAGCCGAACGAGACGGACTCGCAGCAGCCCAGATGGTCGACGACAAACGGGGCCGGTACCCCCCCCGGGAGGGCCTAGACCTCGTCCCGATGGTCTTCGAGACCGGGGGGCGGCCGTCTGACGAGGCAGTAAGCTTCGTTCGGAGCTACGGCGCCTCTCTTGAGGATGCCGACCGGTCCGAGCTCTTGAGCCGGATCTGGCGGGACATCTCACGCACCCTACAACAAGGGAATGCTGAGATGATCCTGAGCGCCCTGGGGAGGTAGGCGCTGACCACTATCACCACCACGGGACCAACCACCAGCACGACCACTACCAGCCCGTCCGACTCTCAGGACCACCGCCGCCCGTACGGCCACCACAGCCACCAGCTGACTGACTACCAAAGTCACCACCACCAGCACGACCACCACGACCTCCAGCACCACCAGCAAACCGACCACACCTCCCAGCCACCACGACCACCACCATCACGACCACCACGACGATTACCACCAACACGACCACCACGACCACCACCAGCTTGACCACCACCACCACCACGCCGACGGGCACCGCCGCCCCCCGTCCCCCGTTCCCTTCCTCGTCCCTCCCCGTCCCCTGCCGGGCCGCCCTTGCCAGTGCGCCTCCTGCGCGGCCTCCTCCCCCCCCTCCTCCCTGCCTCGCGCCTCCTCCTCCTCTTTCCAGAGGGCGCCAGCGAATTAACCTACCTTTCGGTTAGTCCCCGCCGGACTGACCACTTTCCGGCATCGCCGTCGGTCCCCTTGGGGCAGGGGGTGCCGGTCCTACTCGGGAGCCGGCGGCGCGAGGGAGGGAGGGAGGGAGGGAGGGAGGGAGGGAGGGAGGGAGGGAGGGAGGGAGGGAGGAGGAGGAGGAGGAGGAGGAAGGGGAGGAGGAGGGGATGGGGGAGGGAGGGAAGCGGGGGATGAGGAAGCGGGGAATGGAAACGAGAGAGAGAGAGGGAGAGGGAGAGGTAGCACGAGGGACAAGGGAGCTGTAGATGCGGCTGATGCTGTCGCCTCGCCGCTGAATCCTCCGCTCGAAGACCCGAGCGCACTCATATTTCCGACGATCTGATGTTTTCAATCCTGGCGATTTCCCTTCGATTTCGGCCTCCGGGGCCCGCTAGCGGGCCCCGGGGCCACGCCACATGCAGCGCCAGCAGCCACAGGACCCCTACATCTCCGACCAACCTAGGTCGTTGCAGTTCATGAATATGTATGTTTTCAACCTTCTGTTTTGAACAGAGCCAGCATGTATTAAACGCAGAGGCCGACTCGCGAGACACAGCAAATTGATCAAAGGTGTGGCAGCATCTTGAAAACGGACGTCCTGCCTCTACCACGACCTCCTTGTTTCGATGGCTGCAGGCACAGTGGGCGTCGGTCCAGGCAGGAGGAGGAGTAGGAGGGGAGCGGAGGAGGAGGAAGAGGAGGAGGAGGAGGAAGAGGAGGAACATGATGATGATGTTGATGATGATGGTGATGATGATGATGATGATGATGATGATGATGAGGATGATGATGATGATGATGATGATGATGATGATGATGATGATGATGATGATGATGATGATGCTGTTGCCGATGATGATGTTGTTGATGATGATAATAATGATGGTGATGATAATGATGATGATAATGCTGAAAATGATGATGATGATGAGGAGGAGGAGGAGAAAGGAGGAGGAGGAGGAGGTCCTGGCAGGACGCGTTGAGGGTGGATTGCCTTCGCCGTGCAGCGTCGGGCCGGCGGCCGTCCTCGGTGGTCTTGGCGGCCAGTGAGGGACAGACAACGTGGTCTTTGAGGCGCTTCGGCTTATGATGTTCCAACCTACTTTAGCCTTGATCACCAGAAAGAATTTCGAGCGCCAAACAAGTACCCAACACTCGAGTGTTTTCACGTGTCGGGCCCTGGGAGACGCTGTTTCGACACGGTTTCGACACTCTTTCGACATTTTTCCAGGTGCTCGAAATTTCTGGGATGCGGTCCTTAAGTACGATGGGAACAACATAAGCTCCGGCTACAGGTTCGGGTTGCTGTCGTCGACCTCAGCACCTCACGGTCACCGTCGGGGTTTATGTCGAGAGGTCATCGGATCATTCCGTTGGCGTTGCAGAGGGCCCACCCCTGCATTTTGGAGCCTGGTTTCGGCCTTGTAGCCCAAGGGTCACGGCTCCCCACGGCAAGTACGAGCCGCCGTGCGTTTGAGGCTTGTCTGGCGTGTCGAAGATGGGCCATCCTGGGGCGCGCGCCGTGCCTGGTATGTCTTTTGCGTCTGGGTTCTTATTGTGGGATCGAGGTGGCGCTTGTCCGTCAGGCGCAGGCTCCCTGGAGGGTCCGCCGACGCGCGAACGGTGTGCTAGGTAACGGCGATTCAGGAACACCAGTTGCAGGAAGGCGTGGCTCGTGGCCAAACCAATTGTAGGAATGCGTGGTTCGTGTTTTCCTACAGCTCGCCGTGTCGTTGTCTTTCGATATGTTCGCAGATTTGCAATGCAGGGAACGGTGTGTCGTGATTTCCTACACGTTGTTCTGCGTGAGTTCGGTGACACAGCAACCATATAAACAACCGCACCGTTAACCAAGCACACCGTTGGCGCGGCCTTGGCCACGGCTATCCGTGGCAATTTCGGCTTCGTCCCCGTGCAATGTTGTGGCTGCTCGGGGCTCGCTGTTGCGGCCACGCCGAGCGGGACGCCTTTCGTTGGCGTCTTCGGTGCCCGTGCGCCGCAGGTCAGCCGTCGGCTCTCGGCGGGTCGGAGTTCCCTTGCGGCGGGTCGGAATCCCCTCGGCGGGCGAGACGATACAAGGAGGAGGGAGGAGGAGGAGGAGGAGGGGGGGGAGGAGGGAGGAGGAGGAGGGAGGAGGAGGAGGGCTGAGATGAGGTGGTGCGTGCAGGAGGATGGCGAGGCGGGGCGAGGCGAGACTGCGGGGAGGGCCGCGCCTGGGGGCCAGGGCGGGAGCCTCGGGCGAGGCCGTCGGCTGCCTGTACGACTTCCTGGACGTGCAGCTCGGCCAGGCTGCGCCCGCCGCACGAGCAAGTCGGGAAACGGCCATCGAGGAAAGCAACTCGACATACAGGGTCTGGCTCGAATAAGGAACGCTTGCTATTCAAAAGGTGCTCGGTCGTTCCTTGGGTTTGTATGCGCTCCGCTACCATTTTGGCCTCGAGCCCCCCCGGTGTTGCTTCGGACTTCGTAGATCTACTTGGAAGAAGGGGCTTCGTTCCTTATTCATCGTTCCTTAGGTTAGGCTGAATTCTGTAACACACACACACACACACACACACACCCTTTCGGAAGTCCGCGCGCCTGGGTTGTAGGGCGGACGCCCACCTGGAGGCTCGCGGGGGTCTCTGCCTGGGAGGCCTCTCGGAGGCGGTCTTCGGGGTCTCCTGGGGCCTCTCGTGGGCTTTTGGGCGTCCTGTGGCCTGGGAGCGTCTCGAGGTATTCGAAACCAGCACAGCATCAACAGAAACTGTCAGAGGTCCGCGCGGATTGCTTGGATCGGCGCTGTCCCCCTGGCGGCGTCGCTTGCGCCGCTTGTGGCGCGCTCGGACAGCCAGGGAGGGGGTCCAACGCCGATCCAAGAAATCCATGCGGATATCGGTAGGGTATGCTTGTGTCGTTCCTCGTTTGCCTATCCCAGACCCAGCTTTGGATCGGATCGAGTTCCTTAGGGACACAAACAGTGACATAAACATACAAACCCGGAGATCCGCGCGGATTTCGTGGATCGGCGCTGAGGCCCCCCGGCGGCGCCTCCAGCGCCGCCCCTGGCGCGCCCCTGGCGCGCTCCGCGCGACAGGGAGGGGGTTCGAGCGCCGATCCGAGAAATCCGCACGGACCTCCGAGTTTTTATGTTTCCGTCACCTGTTCGTTCCCTTACAGTGAGCGGCTTGAATATGGAACACTTACTTTTCAAAAGGGGCTCGGTCATTCCTTTGGTCTTGCATGCGTTATTCATCGTTCCTCATGCGTTATGTATCATTTCTCGTTCCTCAGGTCAGGCTGGTGACTGTTTTCCTCCACCCCCGCGATCTGCCTCAGAATGGAAGGGCCTCCCCGGACACCTCGCGGGATCGTGGACCGGAGCTTGAGGGTGCGCGGATGCAGCAGCACCGAGCCCGACCCCTCTCCGTCTTCGCGCGCCCTCCTCGGCCTCGGCCTCGGTTTCGTCATTGGAATTCCAGAAGCCCGTTTTTCGAATCCAAAAAGCCAGGTTGTTGAATTCAAAAGCCAGTTTTTTCGAATTCCAAAAATTCGTTTTGGGAATTCAAAAAACCAGCGTCCTGGTCCTTTTGTTTCCCCTGGACTCTTCTCGTCGTCCTCGTCGTCACGTCTGGACGCGCTCATCTCCTCGTCCTCCGCACCGCTTCCAGAAGGGGCTCCAGCCGTCAGGTCGACAAGCACAACAAAAATCATGAACATACAGTGGAGAGCCATGCCAGGAGAAACCCTGCTTGCCTCCAGGGTGCCCTGG